AACCTTGTAACCTAAAAAGAAAAATCACTTTCATATTAATGTTGAATGACCCTTTAGTGTAGTCAAGAGCATGGACTCTGGAGCCCGACTGCCTGGGTTGGTATCTTGACTCCACAACTTACTAGCTGTATAACCTGAGGCAAGTTACTTGATCTTCTGTGCCTTAGCATTTTCATCTGCAACACAAGAATAATAATAGTGCTACCTCATAAAAGTTGTTGTAAGAATTAAAGAGTATATGTTCAATGTTTAGAAGAATACCTAGCATGTAGGCAAAATAATAACAGGATGTAAAATATAAACATAAACAGTAGTAGGAGTATTAATTCTCTGCTGTTCCTAGTAACTAGTACAATTAAATTCCCTACACTTAGAATTTCGGTTTTATCGCTGTGCTTTTAAAGAGACATCAACTAGAAATCATCTCAAATTGCCACAATGAACCTAGAGAGACATCATGACCACTTGCTGGAAAAGAAGATTCAGAGCAGCAAACCATCGTTTAGAAATTCAAATAGTAAACATTCAGAGCCCCTCTTCCGCCCCAGAACAGGGGAGCGGGAAGAATACAATTTTCCCGATCTCAAGCACCTGAGTGTTCCTCCACCTCGACTCCAGCAGGCACTCAGGACCCCGCGAATCTATTCGTATTAGGCACTCGCTCCAGATTCCGGAGGAAATAACGAGGGGAGCGCTAAAACGACAGCAACTGCTACTTGGGAAGCGCTACCTCTGCGCGCCCAGGAGCCTCCTCCGAACGCCCACCCTCTCCTGCCCCGGGCGGGGCGTTAACTCACATCCGCCATGACGAGCCCCTTCCTCCCGCAGGGTCCAGCTCCACGCCTGGAAGAGAAGCTCCTGGTGACTCTCTGCCCACGGCAGCCTCGCCCTCCCCACCCCGGCCTAACGAGCGGGGCCGGCGCTCGGCAGCCCAGGCGGGAGGGCGCGGCTCCGGCCCGGACCAGGAAGGCCGAAGGGAGTCGGAGCTCCCAGACAGCCGCCGGGAGGCCGGGCGCCCCCCTCAGCCACTCCACCCTCTTCCCCCGAGACCCAGGCCCGAGGGAGAGGGCCAGGGGCCCGGCACTGGGCACAGGACAAAGGGCTCCAGTTACCTGGCTTTCTAGGCTGCCCGGTCCTCTCCGCTGTCACTTCAGGAACAGCCTCACAGACAGCTTCCTCGGAGAGCCGTCGTCACATGATTTCTGACGGCCTCTGTGCTCCAGGAAGCAGTTCCTACGCCTCCAACCCCCGGGGACCTGAGATTTCCGGTGGGCGCGGCCGCACTGGCGCCCCGCCCTCCGCGGGCTGCTGCCTGCGCCTGCGCAGACGTCGGGACGTCGGCCGTTGCATAGACGATTCTTACGAGACCGCCGGGCCCTAAAGCCCCCCGGATAATGCCTGCAAGAAGACATTTTTGTGCGGAGAGGGTGCATAAATTTCATTAGCTTTTCAGGGCGCGTTATGTGAAAACTTCTTGTAAGTAAAACAATTTGAAGGGATGGTGTTACAAGCTGAACAGCAAGCAGCAGATTGCCGGTGATCAGAAGCCCAGGTCAATCGGTTTCTGACCCCAACTTCCTAGTCTCTGTTGGCTTTCTCTTGGGTGTCACCATGTGCTCTCACTCAAGGCCTCGTCAAGACTGGATCGAGGAGCTCTGGGCTGTGTGGCGTTCTCCCGGTTGTGTGTGCACCTCCGGCCTCCACTTTTAACACATGCAGATACTGGACAACCTTCTTTCATTGGCTCTTGACTTAGAAGGTTGTGCCTTCCAAGGACTGCCCATATTATTTTTGGTTTGGTGCCTTGCTGGTTTGCACATTTAACACAAACTTACAGTAGGTGGTAGGAAAATGAAGTCTATGGAAACTTGCTTACACTGATCTTCAGCTCCAATTCCTAAAAATAGGAGTGCAAAAGGAATTAACTCTAGCCCAGACGTGGTGAAAGAGTTGGATACTTAATTCCTAGTTATCCTTAAGAGGATGAAATGGTAAACTACAAAGCTTTCAAGTGTTACAAATGACCTCCTAATCGTTACAAGTGAACTTGGCAGTTCCATGGCAACTGACATCATTGAAGATCAATTTCCTTTTTCTTATTTAAACCTTTTCATTTCTTAGCTTCTGGGACACTGCACTAGTTATTTTAGGTCCTCACCCATTCTAGTCTCCTAACTCTTTAGATAATGGCATTTAAATCTCGTCTTGGATTTCTCTGCTATTTTTCTCTTTCCACTGAGAATGCGGGTCTTAAATCTGTACCTTTCATCTGAGCTCTAGGCTCACATTTTCAGCTGCTTGTTGGATGTTGGATATTTCCACATAACATGTCTTACTGTCAGCTCTAACTCAAATGCTCTAAACACTTCTCCGATAAACCTATTTCTCCTTATCTGTGTCTGCGCGGTTCCGTGATTCGACTAGGCAGGTATCACGTTTGCTTTTTCCTTCTTCATGTCCTCTGTTCTTCCCTGAGGGCGATTTTTGCATCTATATTTTTTCAATTCTTCATTCAAACCATTATTCTATTCAGCAAGACTATATTAATAGCTACTTAATAACATCTAGATAAACTTTCCTAAAACAGCACACATTACTGCTGTTCAAAAAATCTTGAGTGATGTACCACTGCAGACCACGATACGGTTGAGTCTTTGATCTGACACTAACATCTTCTGTTTTACTTCTGAATGCATTCTTTTTTTTTGGTGAGGAAGATCAGCCCTGAGCTAACATCGGCCAATCCTTCTCTTTTTGCTGAGGAAGACTGGCCCTGGGCTAACATCCGTGCCCATCTTCCTCCACTTTATATGGGACGCCACCACAGCATGGCTTGACAAATGGTGTGTTGGTGCGCGCCCAGGATCCGGGCTGGTGAACCCCCGGCCGTGGCAGCGGAGCGCGTGCACTTAACTGCTTGCACCACTGGGCCGGCCCCCTGAATGCATTCTAATGTGAATCCTATACTGCAGCCAAAGTGATTACCTCACCCTGCCATCAACATGACTTTTATTTTCTCACACTGCTTATGGAGGTTCCTTTAATCTGAAATGTTTATTTCTCTTGTAGGGGAGGAAAAACTTCTTTCTACTCTTAGGTTCTGTGGCTGGGCCTAAGAATTAAACTGACACAGACAGATTAACAGAAAAACATGCAAATTTATTTAATATTTTTACGTGTACACAGGAGCCTTCAGAAAGAAAATGAAGATCCAAAGAAGCCGTTAGGCCCAAAAGCTTATGTACCTTTCTACACAAACAACAACAGACTATGGGGATGTCACAAGACAAAGAGGCTTGGGCTAGGGGCAGTAAATTGTGGGACAGTGACTTTGAAATATATGGGGGAAACTAATGGAAGGGCTATTTTAGTAGGTTTGTTTGTACAGGTCCATTTTGGCATCAGTCCTGTCTCTGTGATAAGAATGTTCTCTGCCCGATGGAGGGAGGACACCTTTCTCACAGGAAATTTTATGACCTGCCTTTTAGGTAAAAAAAAAAAAAAGGAGGTCAGAGAGCCCTTCTTGTATCCGCTGTTTCTTAGAGCCTTCAGCTCAAAATAATCAATATGCCCAAGTGGCATATATTGGGGTGGCGTATTCTGAACCCCTTCACTCTCCACCTTAGCTATGTAAATCTTGTTTCCCTATAACATCTCCTCACCCATCACATTCTCTTGAATGCTACTATATACTACCAAGAATGACTGATAGTTGTGCATAAATATGTGTCACAGTTTTGGTTTGTTTTCCCAATGAGACCATAAGGTCTAGAAGGCTGGGTCATGTTGGAGATTTTTTCCAGTTTCTTACAATGCCTAGGTTTCTTGCACTCAGTAGGCACTCATTCAACATTTGTGGAATAAAAGTGATTAAAATAAACCATTAATTCAGGCCCTAACTACAACTTCTGATGCGCCCCACCCCTCTACCATTTGCCCCCAAGGTTAGAGGCAAATAAAACTATGAACTCTAGTAAGAACTTTTAATTTCTGGAAGTGCTACTTTTCATTTTAACAAAATTCTCGATCTTAATGACCTAAGTAGTTGACCTGGAAAATATTTTTTTTCTTCCTTTTGAGCGGCAAAAAGGGAGAGCATTGCTTGTCAAGCTCTCCAAACATCATTATGTCCTGAAATTGAAAGAACTAATAAGATTTCTAATTTCCGAGTGTGGTGGTTTCCAAATTATGGCATGTCAGTGGGAGAGTTCCTTAGGTACTCAATTCGATCTGTTCACTGCTTTTGGTACAGGACTAGGGGAAATACCGACTGACCTAAAAGATTATCAGCACTATGTACCAGTTCTCCAAAGTACGGAGCACCAGATGATCCCAGAGGTTCAGGAAGAAACTAGTAGAAACTGTACACACACACACACACATGCACACAAAATGTTTATCTCATCATTCAAATTTCTAGTACACAGCATACTAGTACATTATATAAACATGTACATGTTAAAGTTCTAACTTTTATTGGTTATATCAGAGCCTTTGTTTCTGCATCTCTTTAGCTTAAATTTCTCTTAGCTGTTGTATACAGCAGAGATTTCTCAATTTTTCTTTGATTCTGCTTTCCTATTAAAAAAATCTACAATCATCTGGGTTTAGGCTGGCTCCATTGTCTCTGTGAAAATTCTAGTTGGTATTCAAATTCATATGGAGAGGAGAGTCTTACTGATTCTCCAACATACAAAAACAAAAATTTTATCACTTAGACTGGCCAAGCTAGAAAATGTTTTGCTAATTTTGATTCTGGCTGTGGTTTGGGATTTGGCCCATTGGGAATACAATTGTAAGGTCATATGCAGTAACCTTCTCTTCTATACTACTTCTAAGCACACCCTGGACTCAGGCAGTCACCTCAGAAATCACTAATTCTGATCTCTGGCTTACATCCAATAGTCAAGCATTGGAATCACTCATCAACATCTCAGCCTCCCCTACCGTCTTTCCTACCTGACAGAACCCCAAATTTGGATGAGTTAATTGAGTTGTATCCTCCATGCCTATGCCTAAGCTGCTGGATTAGGCTGGAGAAAATACAACTAAACAGACTGTAAATTCTGTCACCAACCGGGGACCCATAGAAATCCTGCTTTTTCACTAGTTAGCTGACTCAGTGAAAATAATTCCTTCAAATTGTCTTCTTTCTAAGCATCTGCTTATCATTCTTTCCCCTCCCTCACTTTACATAAACTGCCTATTTCCATCAGGAAAATGCAAGCCATATAACATCTTGCCACCAACACTACAAATCTACCTGCATCTGCACCCATCCTCTGTGCATTCCTTTCTGAAAGAATGCTGGTGGCGTCTCTTAGCTAAAGGAATTCTTCTATCTTTGCAATGGCTCCTATATCCTTGGGACACATCAGGTACTTACCGCTATTCCTCTTTTCTCTATCTTTACTCTTTCACTTTCTACTTACCCCTTTCCATCAGAACAAAAAAATTAGTAAGATCTCTCATATAATAGATAGTAAAGTCTCATGTAATAAATAACAACTGAAAAAATAAAAGCTTTCTTTAGCAACCACCATACTCTTCTAGCCCCCATCCTTTTTCTCTACTCCGTTTCACAGCCAAATTTTTGGAAAGTTTTTAATATTCCTGCTCTGGTCCAAGCCATGATCACCTATCCTTTGACAATAACTTCCTATCCTTCCTACATTTACTTTTGCCCTTCAGTCTTCTCCACACAGCAACTAAAACGATATTTTAAAAACTCAAATCTCATCATGTAACTCCTCCTCAAAAATCTCAAAGGTTTTCTATTGATTTAGGATAAAGTCCAATTATCGTCATAATGGTTTATATATGGTCTATGGGATCTGGCCCCTATCTTATTTTAATTCTCTAACTTACCTTGGCTTCCTTATGCCATAATCAAAC